CTTATGTGACCCTAAATCAGCAGACAATCTTTCATCAGGTAATGTTTTCCTTTATGACACATTATGATGTTGGATATCTGAAGGTGAGGTGATGGCCACTCACTTGTTAAAGGCTGTGCCTGTATGATATCAGCCTGTTATTATATGCAGTATAGACTTTATGTAAAATAAATGTACAGTATAACTTTTGTAATCTGGATCATAATAAACATAACTACAGTACATGAAAAAAATATAAACTTTTGATATTTTTGACACTTAGTAAAATACAGTTTCAAAAGTTGCCTATCTCTTATTGAAATATGTAAAATTACTCTTAAATACAGGTAATATATTCAATCAATCAGAGTACCGTCCTCATATCTGAGGGTTGGCGACCAGTCCCCCACTCTAAACGTTCTTGGGCAGTTTTTACCAAAGGTATATTAAGAACATTTAAAGAAATAAGCATAATATGTTGCAGTAATATATTATCCCAAACTTGTTCTTGGGCAGTTTTTACCAAAGGTATATTAAGAACATTTAAAGAAATAAGCATAATATGTTGCAGTAATATATTATCCCAAACTTGTAATATATGATTTAAAGCAAAACATTAAAATAAATTAAAGTACAGTACTGTATAAAATAATGTGTTAGTTTTCGTCAAGTCACGGCAGCACCAGTAAATTAGCACAGTTCATATGGTGCTGGAGGTCTTGTGAGAGGTCCAGAGAAATACCACCCACACACACACACAAGGATGAAATATTTATCACTTAACCTATTCATCTTACATTTTATTTCAGTTTCCACGTCAAATATAACAGTACTGTGGTTGAGTACCAGATGATTGATAATATCTGCTTTTTTTATAGCAATGACTTTCATACGACAATAGGGTGACTATGTACTCTACCCCCAATATAATGTATACTGTACTGGTACAGTTGTGGAAACGTGTTCCTACACCCCGTGGTAACCTGTGTCTCCAAACTGCAACATCGCAGTAGTAGTAGTACAGGTTTCACTATTTATGAATAAATCACATTCGTCGTTACACAACCAACACCCATTCTTTCATAAATAGTGATACTACTACTACTGCAGTGTTGCAGTTTGGAGACATGGGTTACCACAGAGGGTGTAGGAACACAATTCCACAGCTGTAACGGAAAAATTCCAGCCAGTCCTCTGTCCCATCCATGAATCCTGAGCCTCGTGAACCAGTGAATCAGAGACATCACACATAGTTGGGTTTATAGATGCAGTACTGTGTCATGTCTCGGATTCACACAGATTCATGAGTCTCAGGGTTTACAGATGGGACAGAGGACTCACTGTAATTTTTCCGTGACTGTACGTGTGGATCTGTACCTTTTTTTATATACCCTGTATATATAAAAAGTATCTCTTGTCATAATGTTAACCAAATTATATAGTATCATCACATCACATCCAAAATTCCAAAAAGGTTTTTTATATAAATGAGAACTACTGTAAGGTTACTTTATAGGTGATACTCTACTCCTGTTAAGAAGGATTATCTACTGTACTTGCATTTCAGTTTCTTACTACAGTACAGGATGTAATGTCATTGGTAAAATTTATATTTGTGATACTTTTAAAGCTGATAGATAACTTTAGAATCTCCTCCCAGCCTTACACACAAATAATGTAAATTATGATGGGGTAAATTTTGCCAGTGATCTATTGAATACCATGTTTGTCTATTAAATTTAGATAATTATGTCTATTTTGGAGGCAATGAAGCCATAGTCAATATAAGTTAGGTTAAAGCAAGTTAGATTAGGTTAAGTTAGTTAATGTTACACTGAACTGCTGATGAAATGTCCAAGGTCTATAGATTAAGGATATGTTAGTCCAGTTGTCTTGTGTATATCTGATAGTCATAATTTATGAAATCGCAAATAAGAAAAATGCTTGACGGATTCAACATCAAGCAAACTGCAATTTACTGTACATAATAAAGAGATCTTAACATATACCAGAAATAGCACATGTTTATGTACCACTATTTACACCTATCAATCAGACAAGTGTAAAATTCATTTCTATTATATATTGGTAATGAGGATGAAATATATATCTTGCCTAATATTGACATCATACAAATCATTAATCATATACAACTCAAATTTTGATCAGAAAACTAAATATGAAGATGGACATCATACTAGTCTAAACACTTACGACTCCAACGTAACAAAACTAAATTCATTTTTATCAAGACTTTGGCACATAATTTGGCACAACAGCATCTCTACACACTAAAGAAGTTAGAACAAATAAGAATTATTAGTACACATTCTTTGTTGATCTCACTTAATATGATATGACCTTTTGTATTTCCTCTAATTCATGAGAAAATACATCAAGTTATCCAGTACTGTATGTTAAACTGATATATCTTGCAGTAGTTGGTGCAAAGTGGTACTTACCCCACCCCGCTTTATGTGAGGGTCATGTTCTGCGGAAACCTCGCATAAAATTAATCATATAAAATTAATTCTTAATCATATGGGTGAAATGGGGACGTGTCCCTCAGTCTTAATTCTGGCACTTTTTCATAACAAAGACACACTATAAGACAATAGTAATACTATAAAAGTTGTGCAAATGTCATTACACTATCTAATGTGGTTTAAAAATAAAGAAAATATAATATAATACTATAAAATAAGAAAAATTAAAAGCATGGGTGTATTGTGAAAAGGGAAAGTGTGTGGGGCCAGTGTGCTGAGTAACTGCATAGCCAGTTGTCAGTCACCCAGGCTTTCTTGTCAGCAGCCCAGTGGACTGGCATTTTCTTGCCGAGACCCTTCAGAGCACATGATTAAATGAAGGGTACACTAAAAGAGGTTTCATCTTACAGTCTCCATCTGCATTGCCACACAGCAGGAGAGTCAGCCTGTCCTTTGCTGACTTAAACCCTAGGGCAGTCTTCTCCTCTTTGCACCTCAGAGATGCATCTGCCAGCCCACAAGGCTATTGGGAGGAACTTAGGTGGTTGATAGGGCCAGTTCACTGTTCCAGCATTTCTGCTTATGGGAGAGGTGCTCTCAGTGTGAGTTATGGCTGACCGGGGGGGTCAGGCCAGCACAAGAGCACTTAGTGATGCAATCTGCATCGAAAGACCAGGAGAGTGTTAATAGTGGTCAACAATAATTGGAATCAAATACTAATATATCTTGAAAAAACTAATTAATATGATATTAACTACTGACAGAAACACATGATGTTAAATTTCTGCTATAACAAACCTAATACTGTACTGTACTGTACAAGAGAAAGGCACAACTGTACACCAGAAATGGAACACTCGCTGTTCACCCGATTCAAAGTTATTTCTGGTTACCACTGCCAACCAACTACTGCAACATTTTCTAGATTTCCTGGAAACAATGAAACACTTTACTATTGTTTTTTTCATAGTAATTTGCACAACCTGTGTTAAGATTATTCTTGCCAACAACTGTACGTTACCACAATGTCCCTATACTAAGAACATATCAGGCAGACTTCTCTACAACTTGGTGTTTTCATGTCAACAAAAAGGACATACTGCACAATGTCATTCACAAAGGGTTTATTATACTGTCCATGCTAACCTAATCTCATGCAGCAGAGATAAAGTCAAGATTAAACTGGTAAGGTCAGGTTTAGTAGTTTAGTGTGGGAGCAATGAAGATATTTTGTATACTAAGTTACTACTAGTCCTTGATCACCTATATAGTGCAGTGGTCAAAGATTCTATTGCCAACCAAAGAGGAGGATTAGATTCCCTCCCTGTGCACTCAACAATAAATGAGTACTACACTGTGAGGCATACTTGCTTATCATTGGTGGAGTAACCCTTTAGCTGCTGAACACTTAAGAGTTAGAGGATCAGCACCTGTCTGGCAGCCACCCTGTATTATACCAAGAAAAAGATTTAAATGTTTGAACAATACAGTAGTTTATGATACTGTACCATATATAATTCATAAAGAGACTGATGCTATTTATACTTTAGACTGGAAATTGTATGAAAAGATTAAATAGATATTTCTAATTACTAAACCAATTGGTAGTGTGACTAAATGAATGCACTATCTAGCAGGTTTTGATAGTTTTCCTGCTTAGGTCTAGTTCATGGTTTTTATATGAATAAGAAATATATTTATTTATATTTACAAATGCATTGAAATTTATTATGGCTATAAATGAATAATGAGCCTATCATTATTATTATTATTATTATTATTATTATTATTATGAGGTGAGTCTTGGAAAATCAAAGCTCTATTATGAGAGATTCTTTGGTTTGTATCTATGCTGTTCTCACCAGCATATAAAAATAAATATTAGCTTAGCTATACAACTACTGTATATGTAAATAATGGTAGACTAATGGCTTAAGTATGGTATTGCTAAAATATAAATGTTTCTAGTAATATATCATAATACAAGATATCAAAGACTTTTCATCAGTACTGTACTGTAGTACTTGTTTCTTCACCATAAAAATTATATTCTGTTAATGTTTTATCTTTGCATTAAGTTTTACAAGAGATGAACACCTCATATTTACACTATCTTCAGCCGCCTGGTGATCAGTCTGTAGCTAGTACTGTACTATGGTAACATCAAAATCTTAAATAATTGTTTTAATAATTAAGAAGTAAAATACTATATTTCTATGTGGTTATTGGATACTGTACTGTGGGTATAACAGCAGCAACAACTGTGCTGCCTCCTCCAGGAAGTGTGGCTGTTGAGCTTGGCTGAGATTTATCATTCAATGGTTTTTTATAACAAATCAGACTTTTATGTCAAGTCTCAATACACGTCAAGTATTATTTCCTTACAACACCGCAGAAATATAATACAGTACAGCCAGAAGCGTTAACATGAGAAATATTAAATAAAAACACAAGAAAAAGGTATTATGGCAACACTTTCTAAAGATATCTAAAACGAAAAGATGAAACCTGAGGAACCTGTGTACTCCTGGAAACACAGCACACACAACATAACTCATTCACTGCTTCACAATCACAATAGTTAAGATATGATAAAACTAATTTCCTGTTTGTTTTTTCTTTTAGAGAGAATTCATAGTTTTACGACATTACAATTACTCAACAGGTAATTGTGATTCTCCCTCTCTAAAGAATCATTATTGGGATTTCATTAGTCAAAACATGATCACTTTCCTCTTGGTCTTATGTTGCAGAGTAAAATAATATAGATAACCACTAAAAGTTTCAAGTACTGGGATCATGAAGCCTTCCTAAAATCATCAGTCTGGAATTACTTGCATGATGATGATGAGCATAGTGCTGTACTGTGGAGTCTTATTATCTGTATCTTAACATAATTATCATCTATACTGTAGTAAGTTATCAATCATCTAAAAAGTGTGAAATAGGAGGTCTTCTCAACTTAGTCTGAGCTTCTAGAGCAGCACAAGGAATGACGTGTAATTTTGGTTATGTGTTGCATTTAAACATGTACTGTACTGTACTTGAAGGTCTCGTATAGATACTCTTAACATCCTTGAATAGGACTGGTGAGTAATGTAGCCAGGGAAACTATTATTACTGTTGCTTGGAAAAATGGCTGTTAAAGAGTAAACTGTACCTTTAATATGAGGGTCTACCTTAATGAAAGTTCTTGAATTACTATCTAAATTTGATATCTGTATAAATAAGTACAGTACTATATACTGTATATATATCACACTGCTTTTATTTATACTGTATTAGTTTGATTTTAATCTTTTGCCTTACATAAATCTGAATCTTAATATATTGTATCTTACATAAACTTTCAATTTGTGGTCATGAACAATACCTAGGAAGCACCTCCCATGTCATGCACTAATTACTGTACTATATCATCTTGTGATTTATGTTAAAACACCTTTACATTTCATTTATTTTACAGTACTGTATAGTGATTATCAACATTGTTATTTTCATATAAATCTTTTCTCTCTTTGATTAAATGAACCAATACATATTACAAGAATAGCACCTTCATTTATAACTCCAACAAAGCTAAAGGCCAGATAATACAGTACAACCTATTCAATTTGATTCTGCTTATAGTTTTATGTTCAATCCTACCCCATTATATCTCTCCTTAATAGCATAAATTTCTACCAAAGATCCTCAAGCTAACATGTCAGTTCATCAGCTTGACTCTGAGTGTGAATAAATACAATATCTTGGTACAGTACTGTATGTTATCTGGATTCTCATCATTTTGAAATTTACCGGGAAGTCTTTGGGTATTCAGATCAATCACTTCCTGCACTGAGGACTTTTAAATTTGACAGTCACCTGGTTCATGGCCTTCGTGCAAGACATCTAAGCTTAGAAAACCTGAGAGAATCTTTAGGACACTTTGAGGCACTCCTTGTTGCCCCAGAATCCCCCTGTCACTTATGGATGAAAGAGAAAAGTCCTTTTCTTCTACAAGTTCCTGGACCCATCAACATTGGCACTTGGTTGTGGTGGCTGATGTGTATCTGAGAGATGAAAATAATAAAATTTAAGTCAAACATAATCAGTAAGATTCAACTTGAGAATATCAGGCTTAAAATACCCCCTTCATATTCATTACCCTTATACAGTATATGTACTGTATATAATTTACACCTTACAAGTACAGGAAGTCCTCACTTAAGTACTTATTTATGTTCCTGAAAACTGCGACTCAAAATTAAACAACATTAAGTAAATAAATAAATGTGAACACCTTGGTCACCAGCATCAAAGCGCCTTATAACCTACATATTGGTATTAAAGGTAATTGTTTTCCTGGTTTTCCTGTGCCAGGCACTGCATTATCACTTGCTAGACATTTTGGAGGTCGATTATCCAAAAAACAATACAGGAAATATTTCTTGGGTCCTCTGCAACACAAAGCAGTTACACAGAAGCAGCTAATGGTCCAAGACACTACAGTATAATGAAACAAAGCAACACAAAACAGGCACCTTCCCTGATTCATCTATGACAATCATAATAAAACAACAGTAACTGGGGAGATATTAAACAAGGACCCCCTGTGTCATTAACAAAGTTTTCCTTAATTAACACTACTGTAATTACTGTACTCGAATTTGACATTTTTAACCTAGATTCTTAATCAGCAAGTCGAGCAGTACCGTACATTTGTATCAAATTTGAACCAAACCTGTATTTGGCCATATGCACTCAAGCACAAGTGTTTTGGGGAAAAATAATTTCTATCTGGAAAGTGAAAAGTAACGTGTTTGAATGATAAAGTCAGTCTAAATTTAGGGTAAAATGTAGAAAAACATGATTTAAAACTTACACAGTGTAATTTGCATTTTAAAAACAGTACAGTATTCTAAATGTGTGATAATTATTTCAAGGGTCGATGATGATTATCAAAGAACCTTAATTGATACAGTACATGAACTCACTGTGCAAGGCGGTTGAGACCAAGGTTCACCATCAATCTGCATGGGGAACTTCTTTCTTGTCCTAACAACAACAGAGGAGCACTGGGCAAGGCGACGACCTGATCCACGGAGGCCTGTTCTCACTTGGCCCATATGAAGACAACTTTCAAGTCCAATTACCTCAATAAGTTTATCCCCAATATCTGTTAAAATGAAAAAATAATCAGAAATATTTCAATATATTTAGATGACACTTACGAAAATTAAACTTACCTAAAACAACAATTGACTAAAACAAGGCTTTAACTTCAAATTATTTTTACCTTTAACTTGACACCAAATTCACCTTATTTGTTTGAAGTTAATCTTTTGATCTGTAAATATAAATTTCACGACGATGACTAATCAAAGTACTGCATATACTGCATTTATTGCAATGTTTAACTATATGATGAATTGACAAGAATAATGAAACTGTGTGTGTGTGTGTGTGTGTGTGTGTGTGTGTGTGTGTGTGTGTGTGTGTGATGTGTGTGTGTGTGTGTATGTGTGTGTGTGTGTGTGTGTGTGTGTGTGTGTGTGTGTGTGTGTGTGTGTGTGTGTGTGAGAGCGAGCGAGCACATGCATACTTTACCTTGAATAGCAGTGGTGAGATCAGCAGAAGTAAACGAAGATGTTGACAGTTCTCTCTCTCTGTCTTTTTTCTTCTTACATTTATTTGTTTTATGTCTCTTCTTGAGGGTGTTGTCGCCCCACATGTTGGAGCCACCGTGAGTGTACGGTATATTCAACACTGCAATTCCTTGTAACGAAGGTCCATTTGATAAGTCCAGAGAGACGCCATCACACTGTCACAGAATTGCTCATATTAATCTCTGGGATGATTGGAGTGTCTAATGATACTTCATATATAATTGTGGAGATAAATTAAGAAGAAAACGATACCATAAAAATACTAGTAAATACACAACAAATACTCATAAGGTGAGGAAAGGGTAAACTACAAGTGAAGACAATAATTAAGAGAAAAAATTGCATCTAAAAATTACTGAATCACTTTTTAATTCATTTACAAGTACCGTCTCTCCTCGGCTTACGAAAGGGTTCCGTCCCGACGACCGGGTTGGAAGTTGAATTGGTCGTAAGTCGAAAAGGCGAAAATAATACATAGAAATTCTAAAATGGGTGTCTCTTTTTCTTCTCAGCACCACGGGAACTCTCACTTTTACGCTTGCCAGCCATTTTAAAGGGAATTACGAACAAAAATTTTGTCAGCACACAACGCGATCACTAACGTCGGGACTCGAAAATACTTAATGTGAAAAAATATTTTATACGACCATGGCCGTCGTATGTCCGGGTTGACGTAAGTGGAATATGTCGTAAGTCGAGGCGAGACTGTACTGTACTGTAACACCTTTAAAAATTAAGTATGCACATAAAAGTACTATAGTGAGTACAATAAAGGCTTCTCAATCATCCCAAAGTGTGCTGCCTCCTGATGATCCCACTTCCTCCAAGAGCTATACAATACAGGGAGCAATTAGCAGTGGCAGATGTCACAGGTCACTCAATTCATCCCCTCAGTTATATAAAATGGGTTTTCATTGTTCAATTATTAATATCTTTATGACAATACAACTTAAATGTGAGATATAGTAAGGAGCATTAAGAAAAGGTTATAACATGCAAGTTTTCCTAAAAGCACACACACACACACACACACACACACTGTGTTTTTATTTTTAATTCAAAGTCTTGCTTATAAATTATTTCTGAATCAGAACTTTCACTGTCACAAACAGCAATCAAAATTTCTAGTTATATTTGTTTTTCTTTACAAAATACTGTACTGTACTGCACCTATTTCTACTGTGTATGCCTTTGTTTATTATACTAATATTAGGGCGATACATAAACATCCCCAAACACTATTTTTACTGACTACCTCGACACCTTCAAGTGTCAAACACCTAAAAGCAATATTAAAACATCTTCTGAAGAATTTTGTATGTTGCTTTGGCTGCCACTGAGAAGTGAACACGCGGTGATTTTCACATAAGTGACTGAAAATGTATAATACAAAGTACTGTATTTAAGATAAGCCAATTCTCAGTACAATAATGCTCCTATAGAGACAAAATAATGTAAAATACTCACCATAATATCTATGTCTTCGTGAAGATTTTTGCATGAGGCAGCAAAAGTCTCAGAAGTAGCATACTCAAAATACCACAATTTGTTCTTCATTCTACTGTTAAATTTCTCAGGATTTCTCTCTCGTTCAAGATGGAACTTCGCACAAATAGCTGCATCCTGCAAGCATCAGGTTCAAGTTTGGGGCAGGAAGGTACACAGGGAGATACTAGAGTCTGGGTTCTCAACAGCTCTAATCAGAAAAATGCAGCAGTTTGTGATAATGTAGCCGGGCCAAGTCATCCATCCTGTTTGACACAAAATTATCACCAGTACTCCACTACCAAAGACAACCAAATATATAGTATAACACAGCACAGGAGACTCAAAAGCAACATTACCACAACTACTGAAATATTCTGCATGCTATTAAAATTTTCCTTTTGGGGAGGGAAGCTAATAAAACTACAGAGAGTACTTATAAGACATAAAGTAATAGAATCAGTTCATATACGGTACAGTAAAATTACAGTATATGATAATAAACATCTGTATGTAAAAACAACGAGAACCATAAAGGGTGATGGACTCTTTTGGTCATACTTAAAGTGCTGACAAAGATTCATCTCAAATACATTAAGAATAATTAATGTTGACTCACCACATACGAAGAGGACCGCAGCACACCAGTAGTTATTGACCAAAAAAATAAAAAAATTGAATATAATCGACGCTACTCACCACACCTATACTGAAGTAATTGTTGACGATATTGTAAGGAATCTTGTCCCCAACCACTTCACCTTCTTCTTGAGTTCCCGTTTGTTCTGACACCTCGATGTGCCACCGATCCATCATTACTACAGATGATTTCTCAATTTTCTACAGAGATAACATTATTAATACAACCAAAATACCACACATTAAAAAGATATTAATTAACAAAGAAAGTTTCCTCAATTGAGAGTCTTTACTAAACCAAAATATACTGTCATGAACAAAAGTCCTGATGCTCCATGACCAAACCCCAAGATTCACACTCATGAACCTGAAGCAGTAGACAAAGATGCATTATTCTGTCCATGGATACTTTGGATTCACAAGCCTGGATCTCGAGGTTGGTTCATGGAGCAGCAAGAGAGGTGACAGCACTCTTGTTTATAACTGTACAGTATTTCAAGTGTTATGGCTTAAGTTTATATTAACGTATCTGGCTCTACACTACAGCAGGGAGACACATGCAAATTCTAATTAAAACAAATAATTTCAGTGTAGCTTCTGTCAATTACAATATTGACAATAGTGTGGAAAGAAACACAGACAGGGTGTGTCTAATACTGAACTGTACAGTACAGTACTTAAGTACAGTATATAAAGAATAACACAAAACACCAAAAACAAACCCTTGAAAAATCGGTGAGTAATTAGCATTGCAAAACGAATTAAAATATCCCAAGAGTCACAAGTACAGTATAGTAATTACCCATGTACCTGTACCCCAAAAACCCCTCTTGGTCGAGGGACTAAGTAACACACGAAACAGCTCACCAATAGTTTATGTCATACCTTGAGAATTTTGTGAAGACTCTCTCCCTCATAGCCGCCGCCCCACCTGAGACAGCGAGCTAAGTCATTACCAGTACCCAGGGGGATGATGCCTACACACGGCGCCTGGCTCCACTGCACCTTATCTGGAAAAAGCACAGACTTAAAAAGAGAACATACAGTATTCTTAAAAAATCTATAAGTGAATAAAGTTATTGACAGTTTACACTGTCCTCTTTTTTATCTAAGAGATAAAGCATAATTATATTCATTAAATAAATACCTTTTTCATGTCTGTCAAACAAATATACATTAGACGAGGTTCCATTATAAGAGGTCTGCCTGCATGTAAAAAAAAAGCCTAGAGTAATGTTTTGAGATCTCATTATTGTGGAAAGGTTGTAAGGCTCACCATGCCATGAAGGAGAAGGCCTTGAAGAAACAAAGAGGTGAACATATGGAGTGAGAAAGCAGAATGTGCAAGTATAAAATAGTTAAGGAACCTGATTTCTGCTAACATCATTGTATTGTTTAAGGAAGCCTCTCCTCTACTGTACCTCTACAACAAGCAGACCTACCCATCTGCTCAAGGATCCACCCTATGGTACCATCACCGCCACACACAATGACACGAACATTTGGGACATCCTTGAACAGCTGGAGGCCGGTCAAGGGGCCGTCCTTTGCTAGATTGTACACCTGGCGAGGGTTTAGCAGGTACTGTATTGAGAGAGAAGTGGGCTACAAGTTATTTGGTACTTCAGATATAAATCAACGGTACATTATCAAGTACCAAATGTTCATATTAAAATTTAAAGCTGTATAGAAGCTGACACTACATTTATAATTGATCAAGTCATAGTTTATTGTAGTCTTACCAAAAGTTTGTTCTTGCTCTGAGTCAATATACTGTACAGGGCACTCATAAGAAGGGTTGATGAAGGCAAGTAGATACAGCAGCTGAGTTATGCTCTACAGATCACTGGTATTGTACCCGGGACACTCCAAGCCTACCTAGCAATGAATAATTACAGTGGGGTATACTATAACGAACGGATCTTGCTACGAATATTCCTATAACGAACGGTTTTACCTATAAAATTGAGAATGCTATAACGAACGAAACTCCTACAACAAACATTATTAAAAAGAATTTTTTTTTTTTTTACTAATTTATTGTTTCTGTATTACAAGTATTAATGATATTCTTTATTTCAGGGGTTTAGATGCATATTTATGCACTTTTTTACAATTTTTTACAATTTTATATTATATTTTTCAGTGTTAAGTGGTTGTATTTGGGGGCCTGGAACAGATTAATCCTATAACGAACGAATGCTATAACGAACAAGGTTCTAGAACCAATTAGATTCGTTATAGCATACCCCACTGTATCTAAATTTATAGGCCAATGAGACAAACTTTCCCCACTCACATTTATAATAAAGGAGTAAGGTTTAGTATAACATTAATATATGCCACTTAAAACAAGATCATATTCAAATTTTGTTGCCCTCACAAAATAAATTATTAGAACTGTCAATAAATAAGTATAAAAAGGATATAACATACAGTAACTTGATGCCAAAAGGAAATCTAGACATACTGATGCAACTGAAATTATACTAATTAGCTTTTTAAAAACTTGTACCTGACCAATAATACTTTTTGGTTTATGTCCGGAGTGATGTCTTCGGTCTGAAATGTTATTCCTTACCTGAAATTTCCTGAGGATCCTGGCACCTTGTCTCCCCCCACTCTTAGGATTAACAAAGACAGCCAATGGGTGGGTTCCAGGGAGGGGTGTGATCTGGAAGGACATCGGGGCTGAAACCTGCAGAAACCAGGAGTTAAAATTCACGGTTTTGCTGGGAAGTTGAGTACCTTAACTGCTACTATCTGATCCATTCAATACAGTGTTAGTTCATTAGTTCACACTGGCATCAAGGTTCCTCGACTACTACTGGTATCTGAAATTACGAGTACTAGTTCCAATTCTTGCATACAAAAAATCATATTATATTTTTTTTCCTTTCATGTACATATTAATAAGTAAAAGAAAGTACCGGGTATGCAATATATCCCTAAAATAATTGAGATCGCCTGAAGATTTGCCTTCCAGCTTATTTCACCTGAACATTTGCCCCTTCCCAGTTTATTTCACCTGAACATTTGCCCCTTCCCAGCTTATTTCACCTGAACATTTGCCCTCCCAGCTTATTTCAGATATATTACTGTAGCTATAAATTATAAGATACAAGAAACACTCACAGTTCCTTCACAGAGTCCACCTGGTGTTGACTCAGACCGCTGGAGATCTTTCTTCTCCTTCGATATGGATCTCTGGCGGTCCAGGACGATGGGACAAATGGCTGTAGGGGGAAGAACATGAACTCTGTGCTCACCGAAGTTGCATTCAGGCTTAACTTGGGATGCACATCTGTTGTGTAGCTGTAAGGAAAACAAGACGACACACTGAAGACCAGCAGAGATGTGTACTGTACTGTATTGTCAGTGTCCATATATCTCAAACACCTACTAATAAAGTTTGGTTAACAACAATGGCAGATGTCACTCTGGTTGCATTACATAAAGTCATAGGTTTCCCAGACTGTGGTTCCCTTCTGGATAGACCAACCACCTGAATGGCCAGTAAGATGATTAATGGCGAAATTATACATCAAAAAGACACATTATATATGAAGTTGTGACAGATATAAGTTGGTTCAATAAGAGACATCAAACTAAGGTTTAGCTAAGGAGTCAAACCTCTGCTTTTTTGTGATAGTTAGCTCTCAATGTGTATGTAGAACACAGACTGATACTGTAATGAAAAGATTTGAGGGACATAAAACTAATGGATATACCATAGATGAAATAATATATAATGGTTGGACCAATGTTATGTTGCATGAAACTGCTCCCTTCACTGTAATGTATAGAAGGGAATGTTGTCACTAGATTAAGCTGAGGTAATGACTATACCTCAGAAGGCAACACTGGCACAAGCAACACTCACTCATACAAGATAGTAGTAGTACTCAGAAGGCAACACTGGCACAAGCAACACTCACTCATACAAGACATTAGTAGTACTCAGAAGGCAACACTCACTCATACAAGACATTAGTAGTACTCAGAAGGCAACACTGGCACAAGCAACACTCACTCATACAAGACATTAGTAGTGCTCAGAAGGCAACACTGGCACAAGCAACACTCACTCATACAAGTACTCAGAAGGCAACATTAGCACAAGCAACACTCACCCGTAAATGGCACCAACAGCAATGTAAACCAGTTATGCCATTATAGCTCTTGATAGTCTTCTTGCAGCGGGAACACTTGCCGGGACAGTTTCCCTCCACCCAGTGGTGTAACATGGACTGGGAGGTTCTCTTGCTCTTCACATATGTTGCAATACATGACGCCGGTGCTCTCTGTACACAGCGTTCATGTACCGTGTATTTACAAACTGTACAAAGAGAGGAGACAGTTGAGAAATTTCTACAATATATTCTGTATAATAAGGGAATTAGATAGACTGTTATAGGCAATCAGGGGACTTTATAAAGGTGTCCGTCACTAAAAAAGAGCAGTGCTTATGGAAAAACAATGGGTGTAGGATGAAGCCTGCCAAGAGCAAATTATTTGTCTCTATCTATTAATTTTATTTTATTTGTTTACCCTGAAGCAGAAGGCTGAGCTTCTCAACTACAGTATTTGAAGAAGTATGACAAAAGAAACAGAAGACTACTGCTGGGAGTTCTACAGGGTCACACACACACACACACACACACACACACACACACACACACACACACACACACACACACACACACACACACACACACACACACACACACACACACACACACACACACACACACACACACACACTGATTTCTATACCTCCTTACACAGAATGAGAGGATAAAAATAACCAGATAGGAACACATAAAAAAACCCTCTGGAGGAAGACAGCAATACCAACATGGATGCCGCAGTACTCACAGACACAAGAGAGCCCCTTCTTCCCCAGCCCCATCAGCATATTGAGACACAGGTTACAGTAGGCAGGTTTACTGAAGTGCTTGAGCCGCCATACATGGTTTCCGTCCTCCTTCAGATTCTACGGTAAGTCAGAAAAGGTATTGGTCTTAGTACTTGGGTCTTTATCAGGTTAATTAATTATAGTGTTTAGTTTATTAAGAACATTGGGAAGATTAGCTGTCCACCCCCCCACCCACCACCCACAAGCTTGTTTCACCTGATGAGTAAACACCTACAGATCAGGTTAGGTTAGGTTAGGTTACCATTAGGTTAGTTTAGGTTAGCGTTAAGTTAGGTTAAGTTAGCATTAAGTTACGTTAGGTTAGCATTAGGTTATATTAGTTTAGGTTATATTATGTTAGTTTTGGTTAAGTTAGGTTAGCATTAGACTAGGTTAGGTGAGTTTTTTTTCTTTCCTCAGTTAGGGCAGTTAAGGGTAGGGGGCACCACTCATCAGTACCATCTCCCACTCCACCACTCATCAGTACCATCTCCCACTCCACCACTCATCAGTACCATCTCCCACTCCACCACTCATCAGTACCATCTCCCACTCCACCACTCATCAGTACCATCTCCCACTCCACCACTCATCAGTACCATCTCCCACTCCACCACTCATCAGTACCATCTCCCACTCCACCACTCATCAGTACCATCTCCCACTCCACCACTCATCAGTACCACCTCTCACTCCTCCCACTCACTGTGTCAAGTCCTAATAGCACCAAGAGAGGGATTGTGGTCATTCCCCCTCTCTTCCACTCCTGCAGGGACACTGTGCCGTCGTTGTCGTAGTCTATCTCTGCCATCATGTCTGTCAGGATCTGTGGGGTGATGATAAATATGTTTGTTGAATATTGTATAATAATTTGGAGTTACGAGCAGCGCGCGCGCACGCACGCACGCACGCACGCACGCACGCACACGCACGCACGCACGCACGCACACACACACACACACACACACACACACACACACACACACACACACACACACACACACACACACACACACATGCATGTATACATATAAACAAAACACATACCAAAATGTCAGATTTAAGCCTTGGCCACAAGCACATGTGAAGGTGTTATCAGTGTGACCCTCACCACCAAACACACAGGTTTCTTCAGTGTCCCTCGTTTCCTCCTGTACTAACTTACTGGAGAATTTGAAAGACTAGTAAGCTGATAATTGGCCCCCCATCCCCAAAAGTGTAGTAAATGAATGAAAAATCTTAAGTGTCGACCAAAGAAGCATAAGACACAGAGATATTCCCGAAAAACTGAAAGAAAGCTTATGAATATGGATTGTACACAATGACAGTGGTTGTAGGAAGTATAGGCATAAATAATTTAACACTGGGCACTCAGAAGATGAACTAAATTTTAAGTAAAGAGAACTGTAGAGAAATTAGGTGAAAGTTTTGTGTGGGGTGATATGAATAAAGAGGGATCACCTTCATCTACCCAGCACAACAGTGAGAAAATGTCCTATCCACTGGGAATAAATTTTTCCTCACCGGTCTCAGCTCTGTCACATCCCAGTCAAGATAGTCGGCTACTTGGATCATCTGAGTCACTATGCAGTCCATCTCCTGTAAAGCAAGAGTTATATTCAAGTTATGAGGAGACAGATCCACAAGTCAACATACAGTAATATTTTCAAAGTTGTATCTTTTGAGTTTTTCAGCTGGATACTAAAATATATCACAGGAAAGGAATATGATCTGTATTCTTTGCAGTATGGTGAATCATCTTATCTGTACTGCAGTAACTTTTGCCTCCATGCTCTTAACAGTCCATTAATCCCTTGTGTATGGGCTCCCCTCTGAGCCGAATAAAATCTTGAGGCATTAGTCAAATAAAACATTAAAAGTGGAATCCCAGTAGTGAATGGAACAAGACGTTATGATATATCGAGCACAGTACTCTAATCCCTTTATTAACTTCCCAAACTATTCCCGAATGACGTTTTCTTAATACCGTAGTGATATTGGAGGCATTTTTTTTTTTTTATCAACAGGGGCAGGGATAGTACTGGGCAATCACTGGGTACTCACGTTAGTATCGAGTACACCGTTGCCGTCCGTGTCGTAGAGCCGGAACATAACTATAGGCGGAAATGGACAAAATATTACACTTCTCTTGTCCCAATCCTAATTCACCATAACAGTCTCTTAGTATGGTAACATCCCATTCTGTCTACCCCCATTAATGTATATGGTCATTATGTATATACTTTACTCAGAGTGGCTGTCTGTCTGTCTGTCCATAGCTACTGACTGGCGGACAGTGACACTACAAACATAATTGTACTCCAAATAATTAAAACAAAAACAAGTTACACACAGAGTTACAGATGTAGGAATGCAACAGGTTTAAGACAACAGGTGTGAGGCAGCAGGTGTGAGACAACAGGTGTGAGGCAGCAGGTGTAAGACAACAGGTGTGAGGCAGCAAGTGTGAGACAACAGGAGTGAGGCAGCAGGTGTGGGACAACAGTATGAAACAGCAGGTGTGGAGCAGTGGGTGTGTGTGGGGAGGGGGAGGGGGGACAAGAAGGTACTCACACTCCAGTTTGTCCTCGGGTCGGCCGCCCTCCAACAGCGTCAAGTAACAGATAATGTCCTTAAGGTTGACTCGAACAGTGTGGACCTCAATGCTACTCGATTTTCTCACCAAGTGCTTCACATCTGAGGTAGGAGAGACAAGGGTAAGAAATGAGGACACGATAATAAATGAGAATAAGGATAATGAGTAAGATATAGAGATGAAGAAGAGACACAGGAAGTAACAGGTGAGAAATGGGGACATGATGATAAATGGAGTAGATGGGATTAAGGAGATGAAGATAAGATTATGGAATCACAAAGGTAGATAATAATGAAGTAGATTGGGGAGGTGGGGAGTTAAGAGGTGATAATATATATAGAACTATTCATATGTGAGAATTTTTTATTAACTATGAATTTAATAAGAGGTGATGAGAGAAAACAGGAAAATACACACACACACAACATATTCTTGGATAGATTAAATACAAATCAGCTGGGAAGAATCACATAGCTGGATGATCCGTACGTATGAATGGAAACGGAGAAATTCGTGACGGATATGAGTCCCTTTGTCTATCTCATTTTACCTTCTAACTTGCCATTGGTAACAAGAAGGGAATTGTTGGACTTCTTTGAGGACGAGCGAGACATCTGGGAGTGTGAGGGCGAAGAGTCGGTGCTCTTCTCCACCTTGCCGTCGGTATAGCTGTTAGTTTGGGTCACAGTCACCAGGGGATGGACACATGCCCCAATGCTGCCTGTAATTGTAAGGACATATAGTACTGTACAGGTAATAGTCACAACGATAATCTTCTTTAGGCCTGTTGTGGGTGTTTAAATATTTTGGGAAGGTCTCCACCACTCCTAATATTTGTTTCTCAAGGCTGGGTATATCAATTACAAGGACGAGATACTTTTTTGGATCATCTGAAGATTTTATGACCCATCTTATCATACTTAAAGATTAACCACCCTCATAGCTACCAGGGGAGAGTGTGTTAGGTTAGGTTAATATTCTATTAGATTAGGTTATGTTAATATTCGGTCAGTTTAGGTTAGGTTCGGTTCGGTTAGGTTAACATTAAAAGCATGGGCTCATATATTAGATACAGTACAGTGTTTTAATTCCAAATATGACAGCATAGCAAAAAGAAACACGAAAGTATGACTGAAGATAGAATATGATAAAGGAAAAAATCAGTGATAAAGAGAAGGAGAGAATAAAAACAACAGCAGGAGGTAGTGTACAGCCCTGAGGAAGCAACAACAATCAGAGCATACCCGTCCTGGTGCGGCTGGAGGCTTCTGAGTCAGAGCGGTTGTGTCCCAGAGAGGAGCTTCTCTTGTGAGGCCGTGAAGCTTCTCTGCCAGGCCTCCTACCCCCTCTGACTTACCACCACCAACCATGCTCTCACCCACAGCACAGGTAGCCAGGTTGCTGATGGATCCCCCTGAGGTGTTGTGGGAAGTGATGGGGGCACAAGCCGTGGCTGAGGACATCACCGCCATCTCCTGATGAAACAAAAATTACATCAGCTCCCTTACTAACACGATGATGAACTATATTTTTAACTACAATCATCTTAACTCTCTTGAATGGCATAGCACTACGTTTAATAACTTTGTACGGACTCTCCTCTGTGCTGAATAAAATCATCTAGCATTAGCCAAATAAAATATTAAAAGTGATGTCCCCATAGTGAAGGGATTAAGTTAATTTACAAATCTGATACATAAGAAATTACTTTTTTTTCAATTATCACATGACTAAAATGAAGACAATCTTGATGGATTTGAACCTGAAGAAGTGACGATGGACTGAGCTGTGACACATGTACCTAAGAGACTCCTCAAGCCTTCACTACAGAGGACTTGGGCCTTTATAGACCCACAGTGACACACTCAGACCTATGAGTCACCCTAGATACTCACCTTGATGGATTTTGGTTCGACAGGTTGTGGTCTGGGCCGCTTGACAAAGGAAAGGAAGAGGTGTCGACATAGTTCCTCTGGTGTGTCCACCTCCAGGAAGGTGTTCATGAACAACTGGAACCCTTCATAGTCTATGTCCTGCAACAGTTAACTTTAAATGGTGGAGGCAAGAGAGAGAGAGAGATATATTTTATGTGACTGTACAACATAGACCACAAGGATCACTTCTGGAGGAAATTTCTCAAAAGATCACTGAACACTTTCAAGGTTAGGTCACAGCAGAGGCCTCCATCAGGGCCCAGCGTGGGAACAGTTGTATCATGTTAATGTCTCAGCGGCTACTCCATACACCTGAGCATTACAGATGTGTAGAGACCGGACCATTAACTGAGCATTACAGGTGTGTAGAGACCGGACCATTAACAGCATTACAGGTGTGTAGACCATTAACTGAGCATTAAGTGAGAGACCAGACCATTAACTGAGCATTACAGGTGTGTAGAGACCAGACCATTAACTGAGCATTACAGGTGTGTAAGACCAGACCATTAACTGAGCATTACAGGTGTGTAGAGACTAAGAGAGCGACAGTAACTCACCCCATCGAGACTGTACTTGGAGAGAGCACCTGTACCAGTAAACTCCTTCAACACGTCTTCAAGTTTCTTAGTAGAGTCTGTAATGTAATGTGATGACAATATTAGTACAAGACATAGCCGGTAAGGGAGTCACAAAGAGGTAGGGATTCATTTTACTTCTTTGTGGTGGGTCTTACCTATCACCCCACCACCACCACCACTACCACTATCACTACCACCACCATTACCACCCCTACCAACACAATACAGCGTTATGTGGTGAAACAAAAGACCCGATCACACTAGGGCCACACACACAAAAGGTCTTTTTTCGCTATTATTTCCCTCTTGAGACTTAATGATCCCGCCCTCCTGCAACACTCTCCTTCACTCTCATTGGCTGGCTTCATTGTGTACTTGATGCTGATTGGTTAATGTACTGTATCCTCGGCTCTTACTGGCTGACAATATCGTTTACTTGCTGTTGATTGGTTGATGGATTTTTTTTTAATGATTTCCCAGGGAGGTTCGTGGAGGTACTGGGAGGTTGTGGGAGGTTCGTGGAGGTTGTGGGAGGTTCGTGGAGGTTGTGGGAGGTTCGTGGAGGTTGTGGGAGGTTCGTGGGTTCTGGGAGGTTCGTGGAGGTACTGGGAGGTTGTGGGAGGTTCGTGGAGGTTGTGGGAGGCGGGAGGTTGTGGGAGGTTCAAACACAAGGTAGTTCGTGGAGGTTCTGGTGGGAGGTTCGTGGAGGTTGTGGGAGGTTCGTGGAGGTTGTGGGAGGTTCGTGGAGGTTCTGGGAGGTTAGTGGAGGTTCTGGGATGTTCGTGGAGGTTCTGAGATGTTCGTGGGAGTTCTGGGAGGTTCGTGGAGGTTCTTGGGTTCAGAATTTGTGGTTCGTTTATGGGTTCTTCACGTGACCTGCTTCATCTTACCCCTCATCTCCTTTCACCTCCCCACCCCTATCTTCTCTCCTTCCCTCCCTCTCTCCTTCCCTCCCTTCCTTCTCTCCCTTCATCTCCCCTTCACTCGCCAGCTGCCCTGTGTCTCCCCTTATAAACACACACACAACGCGTAACAACAGTGTTTATGTAATACATGTTCAGAAATAGTCATAAGTGTATTGTGTGTGTGTGTGTGTGTGTGTGTGTGTGTGTGTGTGGAGGGTGGGTGATGGAGGGGGGGGAGATGGAGAAGGGGGGGTGAGAGAGGGAGGTGGCAGGGAGAGAACAAAAGGGGAGAAAGGGGAGGGAGAGACAAAGGGAGGGAGGAGATGGAGACAAGAGACAAGAGGAGAGGAGGAGGAAGAAGGGGAGGAACGGAATAAGGAAGGGAGGGAGGGGGAGGCTAAGACTGCATAACTCAGGTGGATATTTATTGTGAAGGAGGAGGTGAGGAGGAAAGGGAGTAGGACGTGAGGGGAGGTGAGAGAGGTGAGGGAGGTGAGGGGAGGTGAGGTGAAGGGTGGTGAGGAGGTGAGGGAAGAGGTGAGAGAGAGGGGAAGAGGAGGTGAGAGGTGAGGTGAGAAGGGGGGTGAGGGGGTGAGGGGGAGGTGAGGGGGTGGGGGGGAGGGGGTGAGGGGGGAAGAGGAGTCATGATGTAAATGGTTCTTAAAGGTCACAGGTCAAGGCTGACTCCCTTCTGACCCATCAGAGAGAGAGAACGCCAGCTGGGGTGTAAAGCATATGAAATAATTACACCACTTTATACACACACACACACACACACACACACACACACACACACACACACACACACACACAGTCGAATCAAGAACTAATCTCTTTCACTTTCCCATCACCCCTTCACACTCTCCTCTTCCCTTCCTTTATCATTTATTCAGTCAACCCTTCCTCTTCCCTCAGTTACCCTCCTCCCATTCTCTCACCATCGTCTCCTCCACCCCTCCCCTCCCTTCCTTCACCCCTTCACCTCCCCTTTCCCATTCCCACCTCCTCCTTCCCCTCACCCCTCCTCTTCCCTCACCCCTCCCCCTTCCCTCCACCCCCTCCCCCCTTCCCTCACCCCTCCCCTCTTCCCTCACCCCCTCCCCTCTTCCCTCACCCCTCCCTCTTCCCCTCACCCCCCTCCCCTCTTCCCCTCACCCCCTCCTTCCCCCTCCCCCTCCCCTCTTCCCCTCCCACCCCTTCCCTCCCCTCCCTCTTCCTCCCCTCCCCTCTTCCCCTCACCCCTCCTCTTCCCTCCACCCCTCCCCTCTTCCCTCACCCCTCCCTCTTCCCTCACCCCCTCCCCTCCCTTCCCCTCACCCCTCCCCTCTTCTCTCCCCCTCCCCTCTTCCCTCCCCTCCCCTCCCTTCCCTCCCCCCTCCCCTCTCCCCTCCTCCCCTCTTCCTCTCACCCCTCCCCTCTTCCCTCCCACCCCCTCCTCTTCCCTCACCCCCCTCTCCCCCTCCCCTCTTCCCTCGCCACCTCCCCTCCCCAACTTATACATTACGAAGTCTTATAATAATAGGAAATACTGAAGCCAAACTCTACGGAAGTAACACATCACTTTTCAGTAACATCTCCCTAACTACACCACTGTTCCGTGTTCCGTGTGTGTGTGTGTGTAGTAAGGTAGAGTTTCCTTGTCCTTCAGAGTAAAACAATAACAGAACACATAACACAAACACAAGTAGTGGATGTACTCACAAACACAGGTAGTGGGTGTACTCACAAACACAGGTAGTGGAGGTACTCACAAAAACAGGTAATGGGTGTACTCACAAACACAGGTAATGGGTGTACTCACAAACACAGGTAATGGGTGTACTCACAAACACAGGTAATGGGTGTACTCACAAACACAGGTAATGGGTGTACTCACAAACACAGGTAGTGGGTGTACTCACAAACACAGATAATGGGTGTCCTCATAAACACAGGTAATGGGTGTACTCACAAACACAGGTAATGGATGTACTCACAAACACAGGTAATGGATGTACTCACAAACACAAGTAATGGATGTACTCACAAACACAGGTAGTGGAGGTACTCACAAACACAGGTAGTGGAGGTACTCACAAATGTACTCAGGAAAAGAGGTACTTACAGGCAGTAAAATCTTGAAGCTGTTGGAACTCAGCGGGTGACAGCTTCTCCCAGTGTAGCGACATGCTGCCTCACCCCCGCCAGCACCTGTCATAACAAACTCATGTTAGTGTCACATCATCACCTCAGTTATGTAAACAGAGCATGTAAGTGTCACGTCAATAATCCATCTACACTTACATGCACACACACACACACACACACACACACACACACACACACACACACACACACACACACACACACACACACACACACACACACTACTACTACTTTGTTGTCACTCGGAATCGAATATGACGATCATCCAGCTATGATACAATGATATGAGTTATTAGGGATGTCACCTTTATTGGTGAGTTTTGAGGTGACTAAAGAGGTCGATACGGGACCGGCAGAGTTGTTCACAGATGTTGCACCTGTGGGGGGCTACATCGAGTGCGGGAGGGGCAGTGGCAGCGTCTTTCCGCCGTTGGCGGTATTGACAACTCGTGTGGTGCTCCTCCAAACATTACGATGTGGAGTAATCGTCTCCCAGGTGAGGGGGTCGATTTGGCACTTTTTCAGATTTGTCTTAAGACTATCGTTAGGTGACTGTAAAGTAGCTGTTTTGGCAGTCTACTGTGGTCCATGCGTGTAACATGGCCAGTCCAGCGTAGTTTCCGTGGATAATGGTAACCTCGATGCTCCTACAGTTGGTGTCAGCAAGAATACTGGCATTTGTTCTCTTGTCTTCCCAGCAAACTCGGAGGATGGAACGTAGACTACGCTGATGAAAGTTTTCAAGTGCCTTGAGGTGCCTCCTGTATGTGACCCATGTCTCGCTGCCA